TTGTTTCGAGCCAGCAGATGCTCGGAGACAGGCATTGTCAGGCCTTTGGCCAGGTAAAGACATGAAGCCTCAGGATGTGTATGGAGCTGTGGAGAAGCTGCAATCAGTGCTGTGCTGCGACACCTATGGTGGGGTTGACGCTGTCCGGTATGCCCGGGATGCGTACAACAAGCGGCACCTTTCCTGAGTTACGGACTTACGTGTTTGATGGGATCGGATGGTTAGATAGTTACTCTACTTAGTTAGTGAGATGATTCAATGATTTCAGCGTTGAAGAACCAAGCGTAGAACTATGTGCAGGCATCCGATGCACCTCATCCTCGACCTCCAGAACGGCAAAGGCGGGAAGTTGTGGCTTGGAGGCCACTTCGCGGATGTTGCATGCCTGACACAGATCACAGAACCATGTCGCGGTGGTGTTTCCAGCAAACAGAACTGCCACGAATCATTTGCAAGACCAAGCAGCAGTGAGAATCCTCCCGTTTGTGGACGGGACTGGCGTTGTCCATAAAGACGTGGCTTTGAGCCAGGTTATTGACCGCCTTCACTCAGTGATCGAGCTGCTTTTGAAGGGCTTCTCCGTGGTGATTTTATGTCACAACGGAGCGCACAGGTCTGCGACCTTGACACTTGGCCGAGGTGATGAATGGTGTAGTGGTTCATAATGGGGGTTTTGCGGCTTTCTGGATTCATGGCTTTATCATCGCTTCGCAATAAGACTTCTGGGTCAGTTCAGTTTAGGACAGACGAGTGCAGCGTGTGTTTAGTAGGCAGTGCAGGTGTAGGTATGTTATGGTATGGTTAGAGACACAGAGCTGTGGCATTTGAGCCAAGGACCGTGTTGCTCTTGATGATCATCTGTGGCATTCCCTTCGATACGGCCAGTCACCATGTGACACAGCTTCGGAACATCGTGGACCTTCAAAGCCGAGCACCGTGCAGAGGCGGACGTATCAACACTTTCTGGCGGAGGTCTCTGACCAGGTTGCTGTCACGGGCGCCATGGTCGGCAACGGCAGAGGCGTGGCATCAAGCAACATGCTGAACGTTTCTTCGCTTCAATTTTAGACTTTTAGGTTGGGCTTGAGTGTTCACTATAATGATATAATGTATCAATGTTGCGTGTTCAGTGAGTCTGTGCCCTGTGCTCCACCGAGGATCTCATGACACCTTTGACGTTGAGGAAAATGGCTTTGGAGCTGGGTTTCGAGACTCGCAACCACATCCGGCCGAGCCTCCCGTCTCTGCCAGTTTCGATGGTCAGGGCCACAGGCCAGGTTAAAGAAGTCCGAGATCTGTTGGAAGCACGCTCACAGCAGATTGAGGCCACCAGGCCAAAAGCCAGAGCTCCCGCCGCCATCAAAACGAAGGCCATGCCGGCAGGTGGGCGGGTTAAGGCATGGAGGTTCAGCGATTCGGGTGAGACGGGGACGGAATTTGGCTTCACCACTGACGACTCCTACGATATTGTGAGCATGGTTGGCGGCAAAGGCCTCACAGACTTTGAGTCCGATGCTCCCAAGCGTGCAACACTCCCAGGAGCTGCTTCGGCCAGTGGCGTTGCGCCAGGTTCCCGACCCCAGTCTTCGGCATCTGATGGCACTGAAGATCCGGACGCCGGTGCTCTGCCAGCCTCTTTGCCAGTGTCGTCCGAGGCAGAGGACGACGCGTATTACATGGTGGACAAAAGCCAACAGTCTGCGAGTACGAAGATGTGGCAGGATCGCAACCCGGAAAGCCCAGTTGCCTCGCCAAGGTGGACCTCCGAAGACTTCGTTCGGCTGCAAGGGGTAGTGAAAGACCTTGGAGACTTGAATCGTCAGCTCATGGCTTTCACCGCCAGCCCGGACGAGCTTGACGAGGAAGTCGAAGTTGAGGTCGAGGTTGAGGACGAGCCGGTGGAGGAGCAGAATGTGAAGATCGAGGAGGAGGCGGCTGACTATGGTGGCGATACGGATATGGAGCAGCAAGAGTCAGACCAAGCCGGCAAAGGAGAAGCTGAGGCTATGGAGGAAGAGCACCCACCTACAAGCTGCCCGTCATGATGTTTTTTTTTTTGAGTTTTTAAAAACTGACCTTAATTTCCTAGTACTTAGTACTAAGTGGGGGTTATGCGACTTGCTTGGTTGGCCCTTTTGCCATTTGCTTTTTGCTTCTTTTCCTACACAGCAATCTGAGGCCCGGTGCCTTCTGAAGGCGAGGAAGAGACCAAGCCCGAGCCAGCTGCGGATGATAAGTCCATGGCAGCGGCCTCTGGCCAGGTGTTCGTCGACCCCAACATGACAGCCGCCGCTGCCGTCGAAAATCTGGTTCAGGCTGTCAACCGACTACAGAAGGCTGGCGAGAAGGACGAGGGCCAGGATCCGGAGTCAGCTGAGACGTTAGCCAGGCTGTTTGAGTTGTTGGAGACACAAAAGGTCCAGCAACAGACGCTACTGACGCGACTCACAAAGGTCACGAACCAGGCTGAGGCAGACCAGCGCAAGAAGGAAGTTTTCGAGGTCATGTACAACCGTGACTTTTCGAGGCTGAGGCACCTCCTGTGCAACGAGCTGCCGGTCTCAGAGCTGGCTACCCTGCGCGATCACCAAGGCATGAGCCTTGCTCATCATTTGGTGCGCACAGGCTTAAAGCCAGGTTTGGAGTGGGTGTTGCCGTTAGACAGCACTTTGGGAGATTTTTTCCTCGCAGTTCTAGTTTTAGTTTGTAGAATGTCGGCAACCTTTTTATGCTTGTGGTTTCCGGTCCTTTTGATACAACCCAGGTCGAAAGCCCCTTCATTGGCGGATGTGGCAACACTTCCATCCGGTATGCCGCCCAATTGGACGCCTCTCATGGTGCTCGTGGACAGTCCTCCTGGACAATTGGGTGGCATTGAATACGCGTACAGCATGCTTTGCACGCTGCTCCAGCACATGAGCGCTACTGGCATTCAGAGCTTTGGCCTGTTTAAAGTTTGAGCTTCTTGCAGTCTTCAATGTTCAGTAGCTTCCTGCTGAGGAAACAGGAAACAAAGGGAGGGTTTGAAAGAGCCTTCAGATTTCGGCTTCTAAATTCTTTGCAGGCTCAAGGTGCCTACGCTGTTATGGTGACCACTGTGCTGTGCTGCAATGCTCCTGGCAATGGCGTGGTCTGATGACATTAGACTAATGTTGCCAAAGCAGAGAACTCTCGTCAGAGTTCAGAAGGCTGAGAAGTGGCTTGGTTGGGCCTTGGGCCGGGTTTGGCAAGACATCTCAGACAGGCGTCAATCCAACCAGGTGTCGTTTCCATTGGAAACACCTGGTTGGAATTGATGCCGGTCTGAGAAGGTTGGGCAAGCACCGGCAGCTATGCCAACATGGCCTTTGGCCCCGTTGCCCACGTCGTCTGCAGAGCCATGACGGTTGACCCTATTCTAAGACTCTTAGAATAGGGTCAACCGTCATGGCTTTGTCTCCACCCGCAAGCTACTCTATGAGCTGTGGTCCATGGTGGCGGCTATTATGCGGAAAACCCTGGCCTCGGGAACCGAAATTTCGATCCTGGAGAACCTATGGACTGAAGCCCAGTGGCCAGCCTGTAGCAAGCCGGCAGGCCATGCTGGATTGCCTCTCCAGCATGGCCTGCCTGGCTTGCTACAGGCTGACTCTGATGTGATGTGTTTCTATGACATGGCCGGCCGCACAGATGGAGAAGAGGCTAGCATTGTCAGTGTCGAATGCCAGGTCATCGCACATTAAGGCAAGGTGGCAGCTGAGATCCGGTCCTGAGGCGTCTGTAGTCAGTTCTCACGATTCACGATGAGCTTCGTAGCGAGTCTCTAAACTTCTGACCTTGTGGCAGTGTACAGTGAAGCGACCAAAATGGCAATGACATGTTGGAAGACATGCCGGTGCCAATGGGGACAGCTTTTTTGGTATTACATGTTTAGAATGTTAGAATTCAGGTTTTCTTCCAGAGTTCCGACAGGCTTTTTTATATCAGGCCAAGAACACACACACACACACACCTACACACACACACTGTCACACACTTGACACAACGACTTAGGAGTTAGGAGTTCTATGTCTTTCTTGAATAATCACAAGGGAACTAAGAGGCGGCTTATAAGTCAAGTCGGTAGTTTATAGATTTTATTAGACTACTTGTTCAATCCCTGAATGCCAAAATCGTTCCTCCTTGAAAACCTGGAACCTAAAGCTTGGGTAACTAGTCTTTGCACACGCAACTTGACAAAGCTCAGCCGAGGACCCGTGCCGCAAGTGGCAGTACCGCGCTGCACATAGCGGCGTCAAGGGGGCAGCTCAGCTTTATCAAGAAGATTTGCTGGTCTCTCTACCACAAATTGGGCGGATCGTCCGAGTACGGGGGCGAAAGATCGACCGCGGCTTTCCACATGGTCGGGGCTTGCCTGAACTCGCCAGGTGGAAAAAAAGGACAAGGAGTCGTGGACATGGCTCTTGGCAACAACATCGAATGCGCAAGCTACCTCAAAACAACATGGGGTGGACGCGAACTTTTGGAAAACCCGCGCAAGCGGGGACAGGGCTATGTCTGAGCGGCGGTCTTTGGCCTTTGGCCAGGTTGCAGTGCCATCTGGAGCTTATTAGTTACTAGTTATTAGGGCCGGCCTTTGGCCAGATTGCAGCTAAAGTCTTGACTGGAGAAGTTTGAGACGCAGTTTTTCATCGGCTGTGATCGTTGCCCGCCTTAAGCCCTAAGCTCCAGCTGAAGCTGCGGCCTGTGGCCGGGTTGCAGTCTCACTTGCCTGCTGCAGAGTCATAGTCTAGTGGCATATTAGCGGCATGTTGACATTCTGTTGATGATGGTCATCATTGCAAAAAGCATCAAAACTTGATGTGTGATTGCAGGCAAGCTGAGATTAGCAACCCATAATACGAGAGACGAGAGTTGCTTAGCCGCAACGCAAACCTTTTTTGTGGCTAGCCTTTGGCCGGGTCGCGACGCAGAATAGAACCACATCGTTTTATGCATCGCCTGCCTTGGCTTTTGGCATCGTTTCAATTGATTCAGGATACACAGTAAGTTGTTCTGCGTCGTCGGCCTTTGGCCTGTACTTTAGCCCGTTGGCCTTGGGCCTTAGGCCTCGTTGCACCGCCTTGGCTGTGGGGCAACGCAAAAGAACCGCTGCGGCAGGCCACCAGTCCGGTATGATGTGTTGGCTCCTTCGATTTCTTAGATCTAGTATGCAGTATGTACTCCTGATGTTGTGGTAATGGTTGCTACTGTTTTGGTAGATTCTAGCAAGCTCTGATTGTATCAGGCAAAGTCAGGAAATGTGCCGACGTCTGCGTGTTCATATGCACAGATCATTGAGCATGCTCCGCTATGCAATCCCGACAAGCTTGAAGCCAACCTTGGAAAGCCGTGTCCCCAGACTTTGCCGAGAGATAGGTATAGATATTGAATATGGATGATTTAGATGGATGTAGACGATTGGATGATACATAGATGGATAGAAAATGAATGAGTCGTAGATAGGCAGATATATAGATAGATAGTATGAGGCTAGTGTGACATGTTGGATACCCAAGCAGCTCCCAGCCCCTAGCCAGAAGCTTTGCGCACCAGCCCTTATATTGATCCTACCTTACTCTTGCTCCTGCCTTTTCTGCCTTTTCAACTACCAAGCATTTGTTCGCCTCGCAGGACCGCCAGTCCACGTTTGTGCCGGTCCGCCTGATTGCTGCAAGGACCGGGAAGAGGCGGTTGACACAGCAATGCAGCTCTTAGAGCGGGTCATGCTAAAACCCATTGCAGTTCCTGCTCTCAACAAGTGGACCAAAGTAGCTCCCTGCGTGCGTCACGTGTCCTTGCTGCAAAACTTTTGCCAGCTTGCGCCGAAAGCCTTTGAGGCAGCATTCCAGACTGCTGGCATGGTCGCAGACCAGGTTTCTTCAGAGGACGAAGGCGAGCAAGTGGGTGCACCTGTCAACGAGACCAAGGTTTGGAGAAAGCTTGCCAAGCTGCGCCTTTGCAAGGCAGGTTTTTTCTTGCAGGATGAAACGGCTAGATGGTCCACGTGTGTTTGGATGGTACTCAGTGCGCCTGTGATGAGAATTCACTATTCGCTTTTCAAGCATGCGACCTGGCACACCCACAGGAAACAGGACCTGGAGGCACAGGCAGCGGATGCACTTGATGCGTTCACGACTGTTTGTTTTTGCAAAGCAGCCGAAAACCCTGCCAAGAAAGCTTTGGAAAATTTGGGTGTCTTGTTGCTAAACTTGGAAGATGATTCCTGGGGCCCTGCTGTTTTGGCCTTTGGCCCGGTTTTGTCATGGCCACAGACCAGGTTGAGAACCACCAGGCGGAGCTTTTGTGTTGTCATTGGACAGTTGTGGCGCAAGCTGTTGTATCCATGGTCACAATTTCCATGGAAGCTGGCTGTTTTGGTAGACCCAGCAGAAACGGCAGCGAACAAAGAAAGCTGCGCAAAAAAACTGTTTGATGTTCCGCATTGCTGCCTGGATGGTTTCTCCAGAAAACTGAATGAAAGGACAGCCGATCCTGAGGGGTTAGCCCAAGTTGATGTTTTGAATTTTTTGGAGGAGGTTTTTAACCGGGTGGTGCCAACATCAACCTTTATCGAGCGCATGTTTGCACGCTTGAGTGAATGGAGCACTCCTCGCAAAGGCCCCAAACCAAAGCTATCCAGTGTGTGTGCCAAGCATTGCAACCACCAGTTTGAGCAATGCGTTTCTTTGTGGCGCCTGAACACCCTGAAAGTTAAAGGCAGGAACAAGCACAACAGGCGACCTGCATGGGTGATGCCAGCCAACACAGTTGTCAATGGCTGGAACTTATTTCAGCAAGATTTGATCGCTCGCAATCCAGCTTTGCAGGCTTTGTCGCTAGCAGAGATGGCTGCAGCCACGAAGACGGAGTGGTCTAAGCTGTCCAGAGACCAAAAAAAGCATTGGGGCGCTTTGGCCCGGGCTCAGAACTTGGATTCCGTGGATGACGCGGCTTCAAGCCAAGTTCCCGAGCAGACCGGTGGGCCTTGGAACGCTGCCTCGAGCCACGGCTTTCCTTTGGCTAGGCATCTCATTGCAGACAAGTGCCACGAGGCCACCAAGGTTGGTACTGCATTTCGGAAGGCACACAATGTGCTGCAACCTGAAGGTGCTGACAGCATGTCTGGTGAGCCAGACCCGCAGTGGCCTTTGCTTGCCCCCTGCCCGGTCGATGCGTGTGAGCATTGCCTACCTGAGGCAAGCAGGCCCACCATGAGCCGTCTTTTGGACTCGTTCTGGAAAGTGATTCTGAAGCAGGCTCCAAGCCTCAAGGCCACAGGGTCTGAACCTTTGGTTGTGTCGTTTCATTCGCCGAGCACCCGAAGAATTCACGATGTGGCCGTGATGTTCCACACGTTGCGGGCTCCACATCAAGCGGCTCTTTTGGTTCTCCATAGAGAAGAGTCCCCAGAACTGATGGCAGATGGCATTTTGGCCAGCTTGCACGCTAGCCCTTTGGGCAGGTTCAGGGGACAGCTTGACATTTTAAGCGAAAGCATGCTCTTGGCAAAAATGGCCACAGAGGCGCAAGATTGGGAGATGCGGATTGCCAGGCTTGGGCGGGTTCAGTTGCTAAGCCGCTTTGATGTTATTGGTGAGTCAGCAATTGACGAAGATGAGTACCTGGATTCGAGGCGATCGCGTGAACAAATGGAAGCCAACGCGGCTTTGGCTGCATTCGCTTTGGCACACCCGGCTGAGCAGCCTAAACGCACAAGTGCAAAAAAGCCTGGCCAAGGCCCGGCCCAGAGACCCAAGACACAAGCACAAAACTCTTTGCAACAGGAGAAGAAGCTCCAGGGAATCATTCCATTTCTCTCGGATTCGGAGTCTTCTCACGCGGAAGACTTTGGAGCTGAAAAGGCCAAGGCCAAGGCGGCCACGGCAGCAAGCTTGGCAGTTGACGAAGCCGAGGTTTGGCTTGGAAGCGGCTGCGAAGAGGTTGCAGCCCCAGAGCCAGCAGGCAACGCAGCGGCTTCAAGCCGGGATCCTGCCACCCAAAGAGGAACGGTCCAACATCGCGCCACAACTTGGGGCTGTTTTACAATTGGGCGGCACACATCCAAGTTTTTTGGAGACGGTTGGGTCGCAACCTGCGGCATGCATCACAACTCAG